CTGGCCCGGGGGGCACCAGCCACAACTTCCTTGGGCAACCTGTTCCAGTGTCTGACCACCCTCACAGTGAAGAACTTCTTCCTAATATCTCATCTAAACCTCCCCTCTTTCAGCTTAAACCCATTTCCCCTTGTTTTGTCATTAACTGCCCTTTTGTGCATGAAGTGCCCCTTTCCCATTATACCACATGTATTTCCATGGCCTGGCAAGCAATGCTGCCATTGTCACCTCTGCCTTGTGTTCTGAAGTGTCCCATTTGTGTCACCCCAGCCATAGCCACAGCCACTTCTTAAATTTTTCTTTTTAATTAGAAGACTTTGAATGTGAAAACTTTTTGATAGACACCCCAGCCATAGCCACAGCCACTTCTTAAAAATGTTTTTAATTAGAAGACTTTGAATGTGAAAATTTTTTTGATAGGTCAAGAGGAAATGGGCTCCAGTTGTGGCCAGGGCAGTTGAGATAGGATGTGAGGAAGAATTTCTTTGCTGCAAGGGTTCTGAGGCATTGGAAGGGGTTGCCCAGGGCAGTGGTGGAGTCCCCATCCCTGGAGGGATTGAAGAGTCGTGTAGACACAGTGCTGAGGGACATGGGTTAGTCATAGGGGACTGGTCAGTGTTGGGTTCATGGTTGGACTCAATGAGCTTAAAGGGCTTTTCCAGTCTGGGCAATTCTGGGATTGTGTGAAAATGTTAAGGCCAAATAAGCTGTAAAATGAGGCCGTCCCGTGACTGGAGTACGAAGTTCAATAGGAATTGTGACAAGGAAGCTTGTGTGGTGTAATGCTTCCCTCTTCTGAAACAGACGTGTAATTAGCTTTGCTAATGTGCCCGGTATGAAGGCAGATTTCTGTTTCATAGCCTGACACTGGTTCTGTTTTGGATGCACTGATGTTTCTGAGTGAAATGAATAATGATGCTGTGTGTCTGCCCTACTGAAGCTTTTGGGTTCAGTTCTCAAGAGCACCAGTGGCCATCAAAGTGAAAAGGGCTTTGGAAAGCTTTGGAGTTTAGTTAAAAACAACAAAAAAACTTTGGAGACAGATGCACGAGTCACTGATAGTCCCTCTAAGCACTGGCTTTTTAAAAACATTGTGTAACTTTTGTGAACTTGCTTTGTCTTTAATTAACCTGAACCATCTGCTCGCTTTCCGGGGAGAGAGCAGAGCATGTGGTTCCTCAGTGTCTTATTGAAAAACACCAGATGAACCAAAGATCAGAACAAGGAGATATTTAGAGTTCTTTGAGTGTAGTTGCAGAGATGTTGAGTGATCTGCAGAGTGCAGGCAGGGAAGCCCAGCCTGGCCATTGATTTGGTCCTCAAGTGACCCTGTAGTGAAGAAAGAACCTGCATCTGTGGGCCAGACTTTGTCTGCAGGGTTCTGTGCTTCTGCTGGAAAAGCTCTGGTTTGTAAAACAGAGAGTATTGCTGAACCTGGGCTTTGAGGCTTTCAATGACTTGTGCTTTTTACACTTACTCAGAAACCAAAGCCTCAAATGGAATTCCAAAAGGATTTTTAGTATCTCAGCTACTGCAGTGCTCTTACAGAAGACTTTGTATGTCCTCAGTGTGGGAACAGATCTTAGACATTTGGTTCCTTCTCCCTGGAACACAGGAATTAAGCATGAAATATATATTTATGTCGTGGATATAACTGAATTTTTCTTTGGTGTTGTTTGTTTTCTTGTTTTAGGAAGAGTATTAAAAAGTTGGTTTTGAAGAATCTCAGCAGTAGCAATCTGTTCTCACCTGTCAATCGTGACAATGAAGACCTGGCTTCTCCATCAGAGTATCCAGAGAATGGAGATCGGTATGTTGATTCATCACACAGGTGTTCAGACTTCCTAGAAATGCAAACTGGTTCTGCCTGTCTCTAAATTACACTTAATAGAATAAGTATTTTCAGGGATGTCATCTTAGCTGTTCCTTGGAAGCAAGTTGACCTGTTGTGAGATTTATTTCCTCTTAAACTAGCTATGCATTCTTCCTGTGTGGTCACATCCTCTTCATTCCATCCAAAACCCGGAGTTCAAAGAGGAGTTATTTTCTGGATGTGTCTCTCTTTATTCCCTGTAGTGAGTAACTAGACCATTTCTTGAGGGAGGTGATAAACCTGACCCTGAGGTGAGAAGAACTTCTGCTTTGTCTTCAGTAACGTGGGCATTGCAAGGAAGTTCCACTGATCCTGATGTCTCCTAATAGTGATGTATTTTCTACACACTAAAATGAGGAATCTCTTAGGCCATCTGTTCCTCACACAAGCCAGAATACCAACCTTCTCAAATCTGACCATATTTCAGATGAACTCTGGGTTTGGTTTGGTTTTCTTTTAATCAGAGGCTGGAAAAATTCCTGACCAGCTCAACCTATTAATTTTATTTAAAGCTACTAGAAGTAAGGACTGATTATGGGAGTGGGGAACCTTGTTTCTGATCAGCTTAGTCCTGACCTGGGCAGTTCATAGTGGGGCAGAGGGATTCATTAGCTCTGTTGCCAACAGGCAGCTCTCTGAAGCTGATGTTTTGGAGTGACTGTCGCAACAGTGTTCTCAGATTTGATTTAATCATGGTTCCTGCAAGACTTAAGCATTTTTATAAGAACAGGATGATTATTTGGGGCACAAAAGGCTGTCACAGCCTGGTTCACAAATCACGGAATGTTGTGAGTTGGAAGTGACCTTGGGAGGTCTCTGTTCCTCAAACACTGAATTCAGACTTGGTGGCTGTGGGCTTTGTCCAGTTGAGGGGTCTCAGACCTCTGTGGGTGGTGATTCTACATCCTCTCTGGGTCCCTGTTCCAGTGCTTGACTGTCCTCATTAATTTCCCTGTTTTAATTTGATGGTTGTTTCTCATCCTTCTGCCATGTGTATCTGTGGAAAGCCTGACTTGTCTATGGTGTTGGAAAGCTGCTGTTGCACCCCTCTGCAAGCCTCTTCTGCAGGCTGGGCAACTCATTTCCCCCAAGCTCTCCTCACAGGGCACGTGCTCTAGTCCCCCATCCATTGTGGTACCCCTCTCCTGATCTTGTCATTGTCATTCTTGTCTTGGGAGCCCCAGATGGGATGCAGAAGGGCAGAGGTTGTCTAACAAGGGCAGAGTGAAGGGGAATAGTGGCTTCCCTCAATCTGCTGACTCTGCAGTTCATGTGATGGCCATGTTTGCTTTTTGCATGAAAAGTCACCAGACTTTTAATTCTGACGTAAATCCCTTAGAACTAAATAATTTAATTTTATTCTTCATTCCTTCAGGTTCTTTTTGTCGGTACCTCCCGATGAAAACCACAGACAAGATGGTGAGCGAGAGGAGGAGGAAGATCATCATGAAGTGACTAGGTTTTACACTAACCCCATTGCCAAGCCCATCCCACAGACCCCAGAGAACGCTGTCCACAAACACCAGAACAATGTGGATGATACCATCGTGGCTCTGAATATGCGGGCAGCCTTGCGGAACGGGCTGGAAGGCAGCAGTGAAGATGCTTCATTTCATGATGATTCCCTTCAGGATGAACGTGAAGAGGAGCCTGAAACCGTGCATCATCTGCACCCTGCAGGTGAGGCTCTCTGGAGGTGCTGGCTGTGTGGCTCCTCTGCGTGGAGGTACTGGCTGTGTGGTTCCTGACAGCGCTTCCTGCACTCTTCATTAAAGTTTCCTTGGCTGTTTTAGACCCTCAGTTTCTTATAGAATCACAGAATCCCAGATTGGTTTGGGTTGGGAAGGACCTTAAAGCTCATCCAGTTCCAACCCCCCTGCCAGCAGCAGGGACACCTTCCACTAGACCAGGTTGCTCAAAGCCTCATCCAACCTGGCCTTCAACACTTCCAGGGAGGAGCAGCCACAGCTTCCTTGGGCAACCTGTTCCAGTGTCTGACCACCCTCACAGTGAAGAACTTCTTCCTAATATCTCATCTAAACCTCCCCTCTTTCAGCTTAAACCCATTTCCCCTTGTTCTGTCACTAACTGCCCTTATGAAAAGTCCCTCCTCAGCTTTCTTGTAGACTTCTTCTCTTTTCCTTTCCCTCCTCTTCTCTCAAGAATACTAATCTTTTCAGTCTCTTTATCTAGTAGGGAATTTTTTTTTTCTTCTGAGTCCATGAACAATTAAATTTCATCACCCAATTTTATATTAGATGTGTGAGGTGGAGAAGGAGAACCCAGTCTGTCATTGTGCTGTGGTAGTAGACTGAGTTGACTGTCATTCTGGAGTAAGATCTTAAGTTAGAAATCTGATGCTTGGTAGTTACCAACACACAAACTGCATGGTAGAGTTTGCCAGGAAAGGAATGGACCACAGAACGTGGTTGTGTCTCCATAGACCCATTGTGCTTGTGTTTCCAGCACTCTCAGTTCTGGTCTCAGGCTTTAGTAAAACTCCCTGAAAAAGCTGGAGAACTGTGAAAATATTACAAGAGGTCTTGAGTACCTTTCCCTTCACTGAGGCTTTGTAGCTGGTGGGGGCCTGTGTTAGTTTGTTTTAAACTCGTGAGTGATCTGGAGAAGGTGAAGAGGGAAAGACTTGTTCATCCTTTCAGGTGATATGTGGCATTTAATGAAATCAACGGGTGATGTTTTCAAAAGAAATGTCTCCAGAAGCCTCGGTGACAAGAAGTTGTAGATCCAGAAAGCTTTTGTGGGTTTTAAAGATCATTAGACAAATTAATAGATGAGAAGCCTTGGGGGCTGTTAAATGTAAAAGATGCTTCACCTTGGTCAGCAGGTGCCTGAGCCCCTGGTTTATTGAAGCTGGGAGCGTGTTTCTGTCAAGTGTTGCTGTATATAGTTGCATTTTTCTTTTACCTACACATCTGCTGCTGATCCTTGGTGACAGGTTGCTAGGCTGGAAGAATCTGGTGTAGCAATTTTAAACTAAGAGAGAGGAGATTTAGGTGAGATACTAGGAGGAAATTTTTCACCCAAAGGGTGGTGAGCCAGTGTCCCAGGTTGTCCAGAGAAGCTGTGGCTGCTCCTCCCTGGAAGTGTTTGTGGCCAGGTTGGATGAGGCTTTGAGCAACCTGGTCTAGTGGAAGGTGTCCCTGCTGCTGGCAGGGGGGTTGGGACTGGATGAGCTTTGAGGTCCCTCCCAGCCCAAACCAGTCTGGGGTTCTGTGATTCAGTTGTCTTAAATTTGCTATGAAGGCTGGAAATCAGGCGATTTGATTTCTCTGCTTGCATTTGTTGCACTGATTCTCAGTTTGTTTTGGCACTTTCAGTTGTCCAGGCTTCCAAAAGAAATGGAATGAAACTCTTGAAATGCTCAAGTTGTGAATTTGCTGTCAGCCCAGTTCTCAATGATGTTTCTCTTGTAGGAATTGTTCTCATGAGAGCTGGCTATTACACCATCCCGTCCATGGAGGAGCTGGCTAGACTCACCAATGACAGAAATGAATGTATCGTGACAGACTTCACCATAGGCCGCAGAGGTGAGTGAGCACACAGAGCTTTTCCAGTTGCTTACAGATGAACTGGTCATTTTAAAGCTTTGCAACCTCAATCTGAGTTCCATGCCCTCAGCAGGAGGATAAACAGTGCCCTTGGGTTGTGAACAGTCTTCATCAGAGATGTGTGATCATTCAGAGTGGTAGCTCTGCTTTTACGTGATGACTTGAGAAGCTTGAACATGAAAAGGACAGAAGTGTCTGTAGGTTCTAAGTCACTTGCTGTCCTTAAATGTAAAGATTGTAAATCCAAACTTACTGGGTTGTTGATGCAAAACCAATCATCACTACTTCCATCTGAGTCGTTACCTACTCTGGAGCTGACTGAGCTCAAGCAATGAGCCTTCAGCCCAAACTGTGTTCTTTACTGCTTTTATTTTTAAAAAGGAAAAAAAATATGGTGTATGCTGTTTTTAAACACTTTTTTTCTAAATGTGCTGTAAAGCTGAGGGCACACTTAGTATTTGTGCTGGCAAGATGAGTAGCCAAATGATAACAAAAAGCTTTCTGTGTTTTTAAAAAAAAAAAAAAGGCTATTAAAGAGTTGATAACAGATCTCCAGTATTTTGATGACATGACAGCCTGGCAGCCAGGTGGGGAAAGGAAAAGCACAGCAGGAACTTAGCCTCTCAGGCGTGTCATTTTTCATGGCTTGTGATGTTTTGGTTTGTTTTGCAGGCTATGGATCAATTTACTTTGAAGGAGAAGTAAATCTAACTAACTTAAATCTGGATGACATTGTACATATCCGTAGAAAAGAAGTGATTGTTTACCCCGACGATGAGAGAAAGCCACCTATTGGTGAAGGGTTAAATAGGTAATTTCAAAATACACACTGTGTGGGGACAGAGGCTGATTAATAGAGATGTTGTTTCTAATGTTGTTTGTACGTGTTTACAGGCAACTACCAAGTTTGCAGGCCTACAAGAAAGCTGGGGAAGGACTTTCCATAAGGGCAGTTAATGACAGAACAAGGGGAAATGGGTTTAAGCTGAAAGAGGGGAGGTTTGGATGAGATATTAGGAAGAAGTTCTTCACTGTGAGGGTGGTCAGACACTGGAACAGGTTGTCCAAGGAAGTTGTGGATGCCCCCTCCCTGGAAGTGTTTGTGGCCAGGCTGGATGAGGCTTTGAGCAACCTGGTCTAGTGGAAGGTGTCCCTGCTGCTGGCAGGGGGGTTGGGACTGGATGAGCTTTAAGGTCCCTTCCAATCCAAACCATTCTATGATCTATAATCTTACCAAGAAATTTATATTGGAGATGTGCATTCAGATTGCAGCATTACACAGTTACAGGATACTTGTGTGTTTCTGAACCAAAAATTGTTTAAAATTGTATTTAAAATTGTGTTAGAAGCTGTTTTGAGCCCACATGTTCAGTTCTCACCTCCTAGGTGCAGATTTTCATAACTTTGCCTCAATACTATGCAATCTCTTACACTTTTTTTCCATCTTTAACAGACGAGCCGAAGTTACCTTAGATGGAGTCTGGCCTACTGATAAAACATCTCGTTGCCTGATAAAGAGCCCTGAGCGACTGGCAGAGATGAATTACGAAGGGAGACTGGAGTCTGTGTCGCGGAAGCAGGGCGCTCGATTCAAGGAATATCGCCCAGAGACCGGATCCTGGGTGTTTAAGGTAACATTTTTGTTCCAGACTTCATAGAATCCCGGGCTGGTTTGGGTTGGAAGGGACCTTAAAGCTCCTCCAGTTCCAGCCCCCCTGCCAGCAGCAGGGACACCTTCCACTAGACCAGGTTGCTCAAAGCCTCATCCAACCTGGCCACAAACACTTCCAGGGAGGAGCAGCCACAGCTTCTCTGGCCAACCTGGGACACTGGCTCACCACCCTCACACCAAACAATTTCTTCCTCACATCTCAGCTCCATCTCCCCTCTGACACTTTCAAGCCATCCCCCCTTGTTCTCTCACTCCCTGCCCTTGGACAAAGTCCCTCCCCAGCCTTCCTGGAGCCCCTTCAGGTACTGGGAGGCCACTAGAAGGTCTCCCTGGAGCCTTCTCTTCTCCAGGCTGAACAGCCCCAACTCTCTCAGCCTGTCCTCACAGCAGAGCTGCTCCAGCCCTGGCATCATCCTGGTGGCCTCCTCTGCACTGGCTCCAGTAGCTCCATGTCCTTGTGCTGTTGGTGGCCCCAACACTGCAGGTGGGGTCTCACCAGAGTGGAGTAGAGGGGCAAAGAATATTCTTACAAGAATATCAGAAGTAGTCTGAAGTCAGGATCTCCTGAGAACTTAGAATTCAAAAACTTTGATAACCTTCTGTAACTGTCTTTGGTCCTTCAGCTGTAATGCAAACTGTCCTCACCCAACTGATCACAACTGCTTTGGCTTAAGACCTGTCCACAGTGGGTGTTCTTGGTCTGTCCAAGAGCTGAATTTGTTCCAGGTGTCACAATTTCTGTGTGCAGTTATGTCAGTTCATTCTTTCAGAGTCATCTCTCTTAGAAATGGATGTCTGAAATCCCTTTTCCAAGGTATGACATCCTTGCTCTTCTCGTTACACAGGTGGCACACTTTTCCAAGTACGGCTTACAAGATTCTGATGAGGAAGAGGAAGAGCATCCTTCAAAAGTGGACACAAAGAAGTTAAAAACTACACCCGTGCCCCCCCCAGGGCATCTGCTGCCCCAGCAAATGACCCTAAACGGCAAACCAACACCTCCAGCTCAGGTAGAAGGAGGACACTGACTAGAAGGGAGTTAATAAAATGAAATCTGAAGAATGGCTGGTGCCTGGGGAGGGGTTCTTGGAGTAACAAGTAGCCTGGAAAGCAAAGAGCAAAACCTTAACGCAAACTGCACAAACTCAGTAGCTCTCCTGACCTCTTGGTGTGTGTTTGCGTGTTCTTCTGCGTTAAGAGACTTGACATTTCATACTGGGGATGTGTGGGGATGGGGAGACTTTAAACCCTTGTTTTTTGGTGAGATCCTGGTCTAGATTGAGTTTGGCATATCTGCACCACTTATGGAAGAGAACTTGTTTTTGTGAATATTGAATATACTCTATATAATTCTAACACCTTGTGCTGCCTGCCTTGAGAATATTGTGCATTAATCTGACTTGGCCATCATTTAGTATGCAAGACTGTATGCTTTATATTTTAAGAATGTGTTCTATTTTTATTAAAAAAATACTTTTTTAAGGCTGGTTATATGCTGGATTTTTAAGTGTATTTGGGTTGGATGTGATTGCTTGTAAAGCTTCCTTAAAACGTCCTCAGGGGTGCACCTCTGCCTTACCTGGGGAGGGCAGTTCATTAATGCCTAATGTTTATCTAATTTTAAAAAAAATCCTTTGACATGGGTTTAAAGGTTAAGTCTAATTGCAGCTGATTCATTTGCCTTTTCCAAATGTAATTAGTCTGGATATTGTCAAGATAAATTAGGAGCTGCTTCATTGTGGGTGAAAACCAGGATGCTTGGATGGCATCCTGCTGTTGATGGGATCGAATATACTCTTTATGCCAAGTGTGAATGGTAGACATTTGTGAAATACCTGTGTCTTTCTGAAGTCACTTGTCATAAAACAGAAAGCAAGCGCAGAACAGACCCTTTTCTTGTTTGGTTGGTTGGTTTTTTTTGTTTCCCCCAGAAAAAAATGGGTTCTCAATCACCTGGCTGTGGAAACAAGCCTGCAGCAGTGAAGGTGTGCAGGAGGGCTGAGCAGAGGGTGTATTGGAGCTGGATGGGATGTGCTGTGCTGGGAGGATGTTGTTGCTGTGCATGAACAGCCTTTCAGTTCCACCCTTCAGTAATCTGTGACCGCAGTGAAAGGTGATCTCGGAGCTTGCAGCTCGCTGAGAGGTGGATCATGTGCTGAGGTGCTGCTTGGCCCGTGGCCAGCGCTGCTGTGTCATAGCAGGCAGGGGAGGACAGGTTTATTTCTGCATCTCTGAAGCTGGAGCATGAAAAACAGCTTAAGAGGCAGTACTGTCAAATAGGCTGAACACCTTTTTTTGTACTAGATTTAGTCCTTCTGAAACCAGGAGATGTTCTTGCAGCATTTCCCTTCATTGGCCAATGGCTCTGGGTAACTTGGAGCCCTTCTGGACAAGGGTCTGTTTGTAGTGTCAGGAGATATGACAAATCACACGTCATCACTGCTGGTGCAAAAGAACAATTTCATTCTTTTTGTGGTAGGAAAACATTAAATCAAGTGGGAATTGCTTTTAATCTTGCATAGTCTGTGATCTAGAAAGGTTGAGGGAGCTGGGCTTGTTTAGCCTGAGGAAGAGAAGGCTCTGGGGAGACCTCATTGCAACCTTCCAGTGAAGGGAGCTTAGAAACAGGAGGGAGAGAGACTTTTGCCATGGGCAGAGAGTGACAGGACAAGGGGAAATGGTTTTAAAGGAGAGGGGAGATTTAGGTGAGATATTAGGAGGAAATTCTTTGGTGTAAGGGTGGTGAGCCAGTGTCCCAGGTTGGGCAGAGAAGCTGTGGCTGATGCTCCCTGGAAGTGTTGAAGGCCAGGCTGGATGAGGCTTTGAGATTCTTGGGGACCAGAGCTGATGTTTCAAGCAAAAAATATTAGGAATAAGTGATTTATTCAGACTTCTCTTATAGTTTCAAACATACTTGGCAAAAACTTGTCGAGGTTAATGAACCTCTTTGACTTGCCTACCATTAACTAAGGGTTTTCTTTCTGAAAATAAGAAAACCATCTAGCCTCATATCCCAGACCTCTGAGAAACAACATAGCATGGCTTAAAAACTTGCCAAGCTCTTGGAGTGTAAAGCATCTGAAAAGAATGTTACTTGGTCCATAGGAGGCATTCAGGATCCAGACTCAGGGATTTTAATTCCCTCGCTAACTTGAATATTAATGAATTTATTAATGTTGCACGGTCTGCAGGAAGTAACACCAGGGACCCGGCTGCATTAAAGCACAATGAAGGGAATAGTGAAACTTTTGTGTTTGTAACCACATTTTGACTTGTAAATCTGTTCCACGTGCTGTCGGCACGCTCCAATACCCCTGGCTAACGCTCCTGCCCTGGCTGCCATTACGTTCTATCTTTACAGACCCTCTAGTCTAATTTTATCTGCCTCATCTGATAACCTTCATCACATTTCTTGGCTGATTCTAATGAGCTAATTTGAATTTGAATATGCTCTTAAATGCCTGAGCATGATTGCCAGTGCCCTGTCTGCCACAGTTTCCTTGCTCATCTATATGCATTGCTTCAGCAGTCTGTGCGTTGATGCTTCTGGAAACCAAGTAAGGAGGAAATCAAGTAAGCATGAATCTTTCGCAGGACACTGGTATCTGAGCAGAGAGTGGTTAGACTGGAGCAAAACCAGTGCACTGGAGCCCAGGTTTGGGGTGAGAGCCCATCAGGAATCCCCTGAAGGCCTAATTACTCCTGGGCCAGGTGCTTTTTTCAAGTTCATAGAATCATAGAATAGTTTGGTTGGAAAAGACCATTAAGATCATCTAGTCCAACCATAAAGCCATCATTGTTTGTTAGCTGCAGTGAATTCCCTTAGAGAATTTCTTTGCTGCAAGGGTTCTGAGGCATTGGAAGGGGTTGCCCAGGGCAGTGGTGGAGTCCCCATCCCTGGAGGGATTGAAGAGTGGTGTAGACACAGTGCTGAGGGACATGGGTTAGTCATAGGGGACTGGTCAGTGTTGGGTTCATGGCTGGACTCCATGAGCTTAAAGGGCTTTTCCAATCCAGGCAAATCTGGCCTTCTGTGTGTGATTGCATTCAGAAAAATCATAAAAATTAATTCTTCCTCTAACCTTGAACAGTAAAGATGAGAAATTGAGCTACAGGTGGGAAGAGAACTGCTGTGTTTAACTTCCTAACTGCTGATGTGCCAGTGATAAGTAGAGTATCCTTGGGAAAAACCCCCCAGCTTTCCAGTCCAAGGACAGTTGTGCCCTGCTTTAAAATTAAAAAAAAAAAAAAAAATGATGTTATGCTTGTGTGTGCACAGACACACACACACTGTGACCTCGTCTTACGTGATCATGGAGGGGCTTGTGCTCACTCACAACTTCTCTCAAGTTCTTTAAGGAACTTAGACTCAGTGTTTTCAATTTGTACATCACAACTGTGGAAAGAAAGCAGGTATTACACCAACTCATCTGCTCATCAGCCACCAGTGGTACCACCCATTAATGCTAGAGAATCGCTGCTTTTAAACTGGTTACTCAGTCATGTGAGATGTCCCAGGGTGAATGTAGGCACAGGAACCTTTTTTCTTTGTGTGGGAGTGTTTTGAGGGAGAAGGGGAGGAAGGCAGGGTGCACAAAACTCTCTTCCTTTTTGTTGGCCACTTGAAAAACGGAAAGCTGAAGAATAGTTTCTCAAACTGACTGGCAGAACTTGGTGAACTTCAGGAGGGCATCACTAAACCGTGACTTCTCCTTCGCTTTACCTTGCACTGTTATCTTAACAACTCTGAAGAAAACAGGAATAGGTTTATATATGTTCATCCCTAAACTTAATGTGGAGTCTTGGCACAAGCAAGGGAGTACTCCGCTTCATTTGCAGGTGATTGTTGAAACTGTTAAATATTCTTTCTGGGCAAACTGTTGCAATCTCTTGTTGTCTGACATGGCCTCTGTGTGTGTCCACAGACCCCAGAAGCGGAGCAGTTGGGCAGGGTTGTGGAACTGGACAGTGATATGGCAGACATCACCCAGGAGCTTCCCCAGGAGTCTGTTGTAGAAGATCACATGCTAGAAGAGCAGGAGGCACTGCCAGCTTCCACGCACATCGCCTCAACCCTGGGGATTAACCCCCACGTCTTGCAGGTGAGCATCTTGTGATTTCCCCTCTCTGGGAGAGAGGATTTTGATACAACTCACATCTCAGTTTGCCTCCCCAAGTGTATTTATGGACCAACTTGTAATAAACTGTACATCACAGCTATAGTGTGATTAAAACTTACACATTAGACTTGGGTGTTGGTGGTAATGAAAAGCTCATTGCAGAAACGAAAATAGTCTTAAGACTAGAATTCAGATTTCAGAATTCTGAGGTGTGGACAATGTGATAAGCTGTCCTGGGTTTTTTTATATGTTAAACTATCACATGAGCTAAACTAATACCTCACCAGGACTGCCTTGGGCCCAGCTGGTGGAAGATAAAAGTGATAGGATAACTGGTCCTGATGTGGATTTTGATGTTATCCTATTAATTTTTTTGCCTTTATTTGTTTGGTGAAAGGAGAATACCTTAAACACGTGTGGGCTTCTGCCTGTGTTCTTAATTAGTAAGGAGAAAATAGCAAGGTTATTACTTAAGCTGAAAAACAAGTAGAGAAGAGTTACAGTCTCAAAACATGATTATTTTAGGACTTCACACCCATCCTAACAAGTGATGTGACACTGGTTTAACTAGTAGTTTGTACAAGTTTATCATCAGCTGACAGAGTTGCTTTCAGTTCTTCTGAGCTGTGTGCCTTCACCATTTGTGGCATGAGTCTATTGTCATGTGCAATATGTAGAAGTTATTTTGGTTGGGAAAGGAGCTGCTGAGATCAGGCAGCTGCTGTGGGAGCGATTGCTAATGTGCAGGCTTGACTTACCTCTTCCTTAGATCATGAAAGCTTCCTTGCTTGCTGATGAAGATGACCTAGATTTGATCCTGGATCCTTATCCTGGGAAGCAACCTGTAAAAATGGATACGTCTCAAGAGATCTGTTCTCCAAGGCTCCCTATTTCCAAATCACAAGGACAGAAGAGATATTCAGGTATTGTGAGAAACCCTACTGTGTAAAGAAAGAGTTTAATTCTGATATTAACAGGCAAAATCCTGTCACTGGCTGGACATACAGCACAGCAGTTGTTTGCTGTGGTGGGTCAGATTTGACCAGCAGCCAGATGCCCACCCAGCTGTGTCCTTCCTCCCCCTCCTGAGAAAACTGTATGAAAAAGGGTCGAGAGGAAGACAGGGAGATTGTTGCCGGCTCATTTGAGCTTCTCATCCCCCAGCACCCAAAGTCCTTCTCCTCAGAGTTGCTCTCCAGCCATTCTCCACCCAGCCTGCGTAGATACCAGGGGTTGCCCTGACCCAGGTGCAGGGCCTTGCCCTTGGCCTTGTTGAACTCCATGAGGTTGGCACAGACCCACCTCTCCAGCCTGTCCAGGTCCCTCTGGATGCCATCCCGTCCCTCCAGCATGTCAACCCCACCACTCAGCTTGGTGTCACCAACAAACTTGCTGAGGGACTTTCTGTGGAGATGGTTTTAGCCGTGTTCCCGTTGACAGCAATCAGTGTCTGCTCTCCCCATGAGATGCTTCTGTTCTAATGGTGTAACTCTGACAGTACCTCTTTAGTGATGACTTTGGAAACTGCAGATGTTGGGATGAGGTTGAGTGTGTGCTGATCTTGGTGTAATTCCATGTGCTGTGGTTTGGATAACGCACGTCAGGCTGTGTGCAGTGGCTTTTGCAGTTCTCAGTAATGCAAACAATCACAGAATCGTTTTGGTTAGAAAATACCTTTAAGATAATCAAGTCCAACTGTGCCTGTCCCCAACTAACCCATGTCCCTCAGCACTATGTCTACACGACTCTTCAATCCCTCCAGGGATGGGACCTCCTCCACTGCCCTGGGCAACCCAATCCAGTGTCTTACTGCTCTTTTGGAGAATAATTTTTTTCTCATGTCCAACCTGAACCTCCCCTGGCCACAACTTGAGGCCATTTCCTCTTGTCCTCTCACTTGTTCCTTGGCTGAACAGACCCACCCCCACCTCTCTCCACCCTCCTCCAAGGGACTTGCACAGAGCCACAAGGTCTCCCCTCAGCCTCCTTTTCTCCAGGCTCAACACCCCCAGTTCCCTCAGCCACAAGGGAACTCAGCACACTTGTGCTCCAGACCCTTCCCCAGCTCCGTTCCCTTCTCTGGACACGCTCCAGCACCTCCATGTCCTTCTTGGACTCAGGGGCCCAACACTGAACCCAGCACTCCAGCTGCGGCCTCACCAGTGATTCCCAGTGCAGGGGGAAGAGAACTTCCCTGCTCCTGCTGGCCACACTGGTGCTGATCCAGGCCAGGATGCCCTTGGCCTTCTTGGCCACCTGGCCGCTCTGCTGACTCCTATCACACTTAGCTTTGTGTTACCATCACAAACCACAGCAAATGTTTTCACTGGCTGCTCAAGTACTAAAATACCTTTAAAATACCCAAACTGTGCTGCCCAAGAAGCGAGTTCTCCGTTCACTTACTTGTTCTTCCTGTTTCTTCCCTCTAGTTGGTGGGCTGCTGCAATCCAAATTTGCTAATGTCATTTTCCAACAACCCAGTGCTGCTCCACAGGATTTCAAGGGACCAAGGACTCTGAGCAGCCCCCCTTCTGCCGCCCTTTGGTCGGCGACGTCTCCGTTAGCGTCTGCGTTCTCTGTCCCTCCGTCTGTCCCCGAGGTACAGATGAAAACAGTTGGTGTCCGCAGGCAGCCAGGGCTTGTCCCTCTGGAAAAGTCCATCACCTATGGGAAGGGGAAGCTGCTGATGGATATGGCACTCTTCATGGGCCGCTCATTTCGTGTTGGTTGGGGACCCAACTGGACACTTGTCAATTGTGGAGATCAGTTGAGTGGATCAAGTGAAATAGACGATCTTCAGTGTGAGCCTGTGGAATATGGATTCCTGCCAACCCCTGTTGCTCCAAAATCGTGAGTAGTTTCCTTTGGGAAAGTCGTTTCCTTTGGGATGGTTCTGACATACTCTCTCCTCATGTTTGAAAGAAATTTGATTGTAGGCTGACACCTTTTTGAAATTCAGCTTGATATTCCTTCTGATATGCAGAAGTGATACAAGGTCATGTTAGCCATGGAGATTTACTTCAGGTTGCTGCTTTACAAAAGTCTGTGTCTCAAAGAACTGGAATATCATAGTGAGAGTAGTTTGTTGGGGTTTTTTTATTTCACAAGTAATTGGCACTGTCATCCAGCAAAAGACTAAAGAGAGAGAGTTCAAAATTTTTGTTCAGGAAGCTTCTCATCTGCTGTTCAGTTCCCCTGAGAATATCTGCACTGCCTAAGAAATTTCTTGTTTAGCTTCTGAATTCAGATGCCTTCAATTCCAGTACCTGAAGGGGCTCCAGGAAGGCTGGGGAGGGACTTTGGCCAAGGACAGGGAGTGACAGAACAAGGGGTGATGGGTTGAAAGTGTCAGAGGGGAGATGGAGCTGAGATGTGAGGAAGAAATTGTTTGGTGTGAGGGTGGTGAGCCAGTGTCCCAGGTTGGGCAGAGAAGCTGTGGCTGCTCCTCCCTGGAAGTGTTTGTGGCCAGGTTGGATGAGGCTTTGAGCAACCTGGTCTAGTGGAAAGTGTCCCTGCTGCTGGCAGGGGGGTTGGGACTGGATGAGCTTTAAGGTCCCTTCCCACCCAAACCCCACTGTGATTCTATGATAATTCTACTTGTATGTAAAGCAACATACAGACCTTTCCTGGGCTGTGTAACTTCGTACCTAAACTTGACTGGAGTATAGCTAGATGTTCTACCATTTGTGTCTTCCAAAAAGCTTGGTCAGTTGATGTTCTCCAGCACATCTGATTTGCTGGTGGAACGAGGTGCTCTCACAAAATGCACTGGTAAGATGTGCTCATTGCCTCATGAGAGCTGGAGGCACCCAGCTCAGGGAGGGTTATTTGCCAAAGCCTGGGTCTGGATCCCAGACTGGGTCACCGAGTTCTTTGTCCCCAGCTGTTGACTTTGGATCACGTGTCTTACTGTCTTCATGTTAAAATAAGTACAAGCTGCACAGTGCAGCCCCTCTGTGATGGGTGCAGATCCCTTGCATGGAGGACAGTTCAGAACATTGCTACCTGGTCTTATCTTCTTTTTTCCTCCAGACTCTCAGAATCCTCTTTCAAGGTTCATGTGGAAAAACTGAACTTAAAACAACGAAAGATGGACAGAGACAAGGAGCTGTACCTCATCCCTCTGGAGATCAAGCTGAAACACAGCACTGTCCACATGGATGAGCACTGTCCTCTCCTCCTGCCCAACCCAGGAGTTTCTGCTATCCATGACTATGCTGACTGGGTTAGGAAGGCATCTGAGGATCCTGCTGTGACAGAAAGTGAGTCTGGAGTAATTCTTCTCAGTGATGACAGTGAATCTGGAGAACTGCCCAGTGCAGATGAATTTCAGGTTGTATCAGAGCAGTGAAATGTGAATAAAACAGAAAAACTGACTGTACCTCAGCATCATTTCTGAAAGCAGAAATGTGGTTGGTAGTGTTTGGGGAGCTGGCTGACTTCCTGCATCCTCTTGTGAGAGGTGGATAACCTTTAAGATGCCCCACAAGATTAGGTTTATAATCCCAGAATGGCCTGGATTGGAGAAGCCCTTTGAGCTCATCGAGTCCAACCATGAACCCAACACTGACCAGTCCCCTGTGACTAACCCATGTCCCTCAGCACTGTGTCTACACCACTCTTCAATCCCTCCAGGGATGGGGACTCCACCACTGCCCTGGGCAACCCCTTCCAATGCCTCAGAACCCTTGCAGCAAAGAAATTCTTCCTCACATCCCATCTCAACTGCCCTGACCACAACTGGAGCCCATTTCCTCTTGTCCTGTCCCTTGGGCCTTGGTTGGACAGACCCACCCCCACCTCTCTCCCCCCTCCTCCAAGGGACTTGCACAGAGCCACAAGGTCTCCCCTCAGCCTCCTTTGCTCCAGGCTCAACACCCCCAGTTCCCTCAGCCACAAGGGAACTCAGCACACTTGTGCTCCAGACCCTTCCCCAGCTCCGTTCCCTTCTCTGGACACGCTCCAGCACCTCCATGTCCTTCTGGGACTCAGGGGCCCAACACTGAACCCAGCACTCCAGCTGCAGTACATGAGTCCTCTCCAAATATTCTCCTGTATGTTTTTACTCCTGATGACCGAGTTTCTCTGTCCTGACAGCTGTTGTGAAGCACTGGTGCTTGACGTGGACTTTATGTGAAGCGATTTGGGGGAACCTGAAGGAGTTAGAGGCCAGCTTGGAGGAGCCCAGTGAGTACATCCTGGCCCTGGAGCGCAGGAAGGCCTTCTCTCGCTGGCTGTCGGAGACGGCTGCGGGGCGCATTGAGGAGGAAGTCTCTTTGGCGCGGCATGGTAATCACGTCGAGGCTGTGTTCAGCTGCCTTACTGGGAAGAGAATTGGTGAAGCCTGCAGGCTGGCCCAGCAGTCAGGTAAGATGCTTAAATCATCATGCTCAGCTTTTTCAGGGGAGGAAGAAGGGAGATGCGTAAAAAGACTTTAAGCTGGGAGAGCTGATAGTAACTGTCTGCTCTGAGTACAGAGTTCTCCCTGATAGAATCATAGAATGGTTTGGGTTGGAAGGGACCTTAAAGCTCCTCCAGTCCCAACCCCCCTGCCAGCAGCAGGGACACCTTCCACTAGACCAGGTTGCTCAAAACCTCATCCAGCCTGGCCTTGAACCCTTCCAGGGAGGCGCAGCCACAACTTCCTTGGGCAACCTAAGGAAGAAACTGTGTTTGATTAGAAACTGTGCACAAAAACCACCCGTGGAGCTGTAGGCTGATCAAAGTGCTCCACAACTCATCACCACACATGGCTGTGGCCCTGGCAGACAGAGGATTTCCCTGATGCGTTCTTGTCTCCTGTCCAGGTGACCACAGGCTCGCTCTGCTCCTCTCCCAGCTGGCAGGTAGCCAGCCCGTTCGGGATCTCCTCACCCTGCAGCTGGTGGACTGGCACAGGCTGCAGGCAGACAGCTTCATCCAGGAAGAGAGACTGCGCATCTTTGCCCTGCTTGCAGGGAAGCCTGTGAGTTCTGTAACTTGCCTGTTTTCTCATTGACTTCACTTCCCTTCTTGAAGCATTATGTTTAAGCTGTGACACTCAACCACAGCGTGTGGCACGCAGCAGGGAAGGAGGACAAGGTGGTGACGTGGCTTTTTTTACTAACATAACCTCTGCTCTGCACTGGGGCGGCCTCACCTCCAGCACTGGGGGCAGTTTGGGCACCACAGGATAAAAAGGATCTAAAGCTCTTGGAGAGTGTTGAGTGTGGTTTTTTCAGCCTGGAGAAGAGGAGACTGAGAGGAGATCTCATGGGGGTCTAGAACTTCCTCCCCAGGGGAAGAGGAGGGGCAGGCGCTGATCTCTTCTCTCTGGCCACCAACGAATGCCAGGAGCAGAGGACATGGCAGGAAGATGTGGCAGGGGAGGGTGAGGTTGGCCATGAGGAAAAGGTTCTTGAGGCAGAGGGTGGTGGAGCCCTGGAACAGGCTCCCCAGGGAGGTGCTCATGGCACCAAGCCTGACAAGATTCCAGCAGCATTTGGCCAAGGCCCTCAGGGACATGGTGTGAATGTTGGGCTTGTCCTGTGCAGGGACAGGAGTTGGACTCCATCATCCTTGTGGGTCCCTCCCAGCTCACCACATTCTGTGATTCTGTGTTGTTGTGTTCCTGGTCTGTGCCAACCATTGTGTGAGAAGTTTGATTAATCTTAGCACTTTGCTTCTTTAGGTGTGGCAGTTGTCAGAGAGAGTGAGTGTCAACGTGTGCTCGCTGCTGGACTGGAAGCGTTGCGTGGCTGTCCACCTCTGGTACCTGCTTCCTCCCACAGCGTCTATTTCCAAGGCACTCGCCATGTACGAGTCAGCATTTCAGGTAGGTCAGTCGTGCCTGGGTAGAAGGAGATCTCCCTCCCTACCACTGAGTGTCTGATGCTGCTCTGAGACTTCTCTGAGCAGTCAGGTATTGCTGTGGAGGTGCTGAGTGTGGAATTGCGGGTGGGTTCATGATTTCAGTTGTGTCAGCAGTGGATTCCTTCCTTCCCCAGCTGTAGTGATTGGTTTTTGCAGCATTTCACACTGGAATGGGAGGAAAGCACTGGAGTTGAACCTGTGGTAACTGTAGTCACATGAAAAGCTCAGGACCTACCCTTTGGGGTGTTCTGGTGGTGACTTTGAGGCATATCTGCCACTGATTGAGTGTTTCTAGAGAAAATTAGGAAGGTGGGTAGTGGCCAGCAGCAGGAAGGCTGTTTGAGGTAGGCGTAGGTATTCACTCAGTTTCCCAATGTGATGAACAAGGGGAAATGGCTCTAAAGTGAAAGAGGGGAGGTTTAGATGAGATATTAGGAAGAAATTGTTTGGTGTGAGGGTGGTGAGCCAGTGTCCCAGGTTGGGCAGAGAAGCTGTGGCTGCTCCTCCCTGGAAGTGTTTGTGGCCAGGTTGGATGAGGCTTTGAGCAACCTGGTCTAGTGGAAGGTGTCCCTGCTGCTGGCAGGGGGGTTGGGACTGGAGGAGCTTTGAGGTCCCATCCAACACAAACCATTCTATGATTCTGTGATTAATACTCAGCTGCCTGACTCCTAAAATAGTCTTTGCTGAACCCTCCACCCTTTGTTGCGCTCACTGTTTCTCCAGCGAAGGTGGAAGGTGTCCTACAGACGGCGCGTGGCCGCCTGCATTATGCAAAGCCTTGTTTGTTGCTGTAGAGCTGTCAGCCTCTCTATACAGAAAGACAAAGGCTTCTGTTGGAAAAAAAAAAGTCTTTAATCATTTAACTAAAGATAGTTCAGCCCTTGATCTCGATGGCTAAAGATAGCTCAAGCACAGCGACGAGTCTCGTCACCTCTCACTGATCCGTGCTTAATGCTGCAGGGATATTTAGTGTTATCTCTGTACCTAGAACGTCAGCATAATGTGTTCATCGCTTCAAAATGCCAACCTTTAGTGTTGTCATGACTTGAACTTAATGCTACAAGGTTAGAATGTGGAGGTGGCCTCACTGCAGCCCCGTGATGTGGAGGAGAAGCTGATACCACCCAGAATCTCACACAGAATTGCCTGGATTGGAAAAGCCCTTTGAGCTCATCGAGTCCAACCATGAACCCAACAGTGACAAGTCACTGACTGACCCATGTCCCTCAGCACTATGTCTACACGACTCTTCAATCCCTCCAGGGATGGGGACTCCACCACTGCCCTGGGCAACCCCTTCCAATGCCTCAGAACCCTTGCAGCAAAGAAATTCTTCCTCACATCGCATCTCAACTGCCCTGGCCACAACTGGAGCCCATTTCCTCTTGCCTTTTTATGTGGGAGAAGAGACTGATGCCACTCATTTCCAGAACTGCACGTAGGAGGGCTGGTAACTGGAAACCAGCAGGACATGGAATGCTCTTCCAAACCCGGATCTGGTGTTCTTGGCAGCAGTGAGAACGTCGAGAGGGTTTCTGTGGCCCAGACTGGTTAGATGGTGTTGAAGACAATAGTTCTCTTGCAGTTCAGTGCCCTGCAAAACGATTCTTGTCAGCTGAGTTCATTCAGTGCTGCTCACTTGACTGTCCAGGCTCTGCTTAGCTACAGGGGGAGAGAAAGCTTGCAGGGATGCACCATCCCTCATCCCATCAAGTCCTATGTGGTTCTCCAGCTGTAAAATCATTGAGGAATACAGGTTGTATATGCGAGAGCTGGCTGTACCTCCACACAGTGGCTTTCAAGAGCTCAGTGTGAGATTAAATTAAGCCTAGTGATAGGACAAGGGGAAATGGTTTTAAACCAAGAGAGGGGAGATTGAGGTGAGATATTAGGAGGAAATTTTTCACCCAGAGGGTGGTGAGCCAGTGTCCCAGGTTGCCCAGAGAAGCTGTGGCTGCTCCTCCCTGGAAGTGTTTGTGGCCAGGCTGGATGAGGCTTTGAGCAACCTGGTCTAGTGGAAGGTGTCCCTGCTGCTGGCAGGGGGGTTGGGACTGGAGGAGCTTTGAGGTCCCTCCCAACCCAAACCAGTCTGGGATTCTGTGATTCTATGGAAGCATTTTGGGTTTAGTTTTTTCCTCTTTACTGTCATGTTCATATATAGTTGCTGTGTGAGTTTTAACTGCCAGGGCAGTAGGATGCACCTTCTCCTGCTCGTGAGCTCCTGAGCTGTTTGAAGTTCAGAGTGCAGTTTTGTTCAGTCTTTTAACATACTGTTAAAAACTTATTTCTTTAGAACACAGTGGAGTGTGAAAAATACGCCTGCTGTCCTCTGCCTCCTTACCTAGAAGATTCTGGCTGTGTAGTTGAAGAGGACGATAATGCAGGAAGACCTCTGAGAGACGTGTGTTTCCATCTGTTAAAACTCTACAGTGACAGGTAAATGGGTAAATAGTTCAAAAACGATTCAGAAAAATCTTGATCACTTGGTGACTTCCTGAATTCCCAAACCAGGGGCGTGACATCAGCTCCAGTGTTTGCTGAACCCCTTCTGTAGTCAGAAATCTCTGCTTTCTCTCTGCTTTCTCTCTGCTTTCTCTCTGCTTTCTCTCTGCTTTCTCTCTGCTTTCTCTCTGCTTTCTCTCTGCTTTCTCTCTGCTTTCTCTCTGCTTTCTCTCTGCTTTCTCTCTGCTTTCTCTCTGCTTTCTCTCTGCTTTCTCTCTGCTTTCTCTCTGCTTTCTCTCTGCTTTCTCTCTGCTTTCTCTCTGCTTTCTCTCTGCTTTCTCTCTGCTTTCTCTCTGCTTTCTCTCTGCTTTCTCTCTGCTTTCTCTCTGCTTTCTCTCTGCTTTCTCTCTGCTTTCTCTCTGCTTTCTCTCTGCTTTCTCTCTGCTTTCTCTCTGCTTTCTCTCTGCTTTCTCTCTGCTTTCTCTCTGCTTTCTCTCTGCTTTCTCTCTGCTTTCTCTCTGCTTTCTCTCTGCTTTCTCTCTGCTTTCTCTCTGCTTTCTCTCTGCTTTCTCTCTGCTTTCTCTCTGCTTTCTCTCTGCTTTCTCTCTGCTTTCTCTCTGCTTTCTCTCTGCTTTCTCTCTGCTTTCTCTCTGCTTTCTCCCCATGTACATCACAAATATGGAATAACTGGAGATGGCTGAAGGGAAGGAACTAAGTAGTACTATTTTGTGACTTTATGTAGACACCATCAGGTATTTATGATGCAAATGTTTTCCCCTCCAGGCACTATGATCTTGACCAGCTCCTTGATCCCAGGAGTGTAACATCTGACCCTCTGGATTACCGTCTCAGCTGGCACCTGTGGGAAGTGCTCAGAGCCCTGAATTACACCCATCTCTTCAAGCAGAGCCAGGGAGTGCTGAATGCCAGCTACGCTGCCCAGCTGGAGAGCGAAGGTCTCTGGGAATGGGCTGTTTTCATACTGCTGCATGAACCTGATACTCAGTGAGTACACCTTGTTTTTTAATTTTCTCTTGAAAATAACGTGTTCTTTGTTTTATAGACTTGCCATGTATACCAAAGTTATCATGGCTTCTCTCACGTTAAATTGGAATGGCACAGCTGGAGAACTTCATGCCACTAGTGAAAGTTGTGTGCAGGATTAAAAAGTGGCATGAATGCCAGAATTGCCTCGATTGGAAAAGACACATAAGGGGCCTACAAGACAGGTGGGGAGTGACAGAACAAGGGGTGATGGC